CTGCTACGAACCCGTGCTGGTTTCCCCTCAGCATAATTTCTCCTGCCGGGCTCTCGCAAATGTGAGCCTTGATAATTTTTTCAAAGACTTTGCCAAGGATGGAGGTGAGACTGACTGGCCTATAGTTGCCTGGGTCCTCCTTCCTTCCCTTCTTGAAAATGGGGACCACACTGGCCCTTTTCCAGTCCTCCAGGACCTGGCCCGTGCGCCACAAGTGTTCAAATATTCCCGCCAGTGGCTATGTAATCACGTCAGCCAGTGCCTTCAGCACCCTCGGATGGAGCTCATCCGGGCCTGCCGACTTAAAAGCATCCAGTTCCTCCAAGTGACTCTACACCATCTCAGGGTCTACGCACAGTAGTCTGGCGCCCTGCTGCTGCCTCTCTACCATCCCGGTGAGAGACTTGTCTTGCCCCTCACTTAGGAACACTGAGGCAAAGAACTCATTGAGGAGTTCAGCCTTGTCCCCCCCGTCCGTCACCAATTGCTTCTGCCCATTTAGCAGGGGTCCTATTCCACCCTGGGCCTTCCTTTTACTCCCAATATAGCTGAAAAACAATTTCTTGTTATCCTTAACTTGGGATGCCATCCTCAGCTCCATGGTAGCTTTGGCCCGTCTAACTGCCTCCCTACAAGCGTGAGCAGAGGAGGTATACTCCTCTTTGGTAATCTCTCCCTGTTTCCACTTTTTATATGCTCCCCTTTTAGCCTGTAGGCTGCTCTGGATTTCTCTGGTCAGCCAGGGAAGCTTTCTGGTCCCTTTCCCTCTTTTTCCTCGCATCGGGATCGTCTCCCTCTGTGCCCGAAGGAGAAATCAATGTTATATACCTTGATTTTAAAAAAGCCTTCCATCTGGTATCCCATGATCATCTCATAGAAGAACTGGCCAACTGCGACCTCGGCCACATCACAGTCCAATTTAGATAGCACTGAACGGGGCATGCTAGGATTGTTAAATGCGTTTAGACAGGACACGCTAGGCAAGGGAGGAAGGAAATCAAAACAATTCCCTAAGGAAGAGCTGTTAGTGACTGTATGTACGCAGGTGGAGGAGGTTAGATCAAACAAAGGAGAATATATTAATAAGAAATGTGAGCAAGGTCTGATCACTGACAGAGCAGTGGGGAGGAACTGAATTTAAACCTCATGCCAAAATTCACGAAGATGAGACTATTGAAATATAGGAAGATGACTACAAAACTCCACAGTTCACATACCTCCAGGGAAAAGCAAGAAACAGAGCTTTACCCAGAGAAACGAGGGCTTGGAAATTCCTCAGCATCTGGTCCCGGTAAAGCACCTTGTCTTTGTCTTCCAGCAGCTCCCACTCCTTCCGTGTGAAATACACAGCCACATCCTCAAACACTTCCTGGAGCTGCAGTCACAAACATTACACCATCAGCATCTCCTCTACCAGCTGCTTCCAGCCCCCACAACCCAGTCTGCAATCACTCTGTATTACAACTAATTGCAGGCTTAGCCATTACAGGAAAGGGTGTAATATTCCCCAGTCTTCAGCTGATGTGATGTAGATGCAGCTGTGCACAAAGGAGTCCATGCATCAGCTTTAGCCCAGCTCATCACGTTTTATTTGCTCAGACCTTTGAGGCAGTCTGGGCAGTACTTTTAGGGGCAGGGAACCCCAGCTCCATGCACTCTGGCCACGCCTTCTCATACCAGCACCCCTGGCTATCTGTATTACGGAAGGAGCTCCTGCTAATACCAGCTTGGGGTGTTTGCAGCCTCCATCACCACAGTTTCATAGTAGGTAGGGTCGGAAGGGACCTAAGCAGATCATCAAGTCCGACCCCCTGCAATAGGCAAGAAAGGATGCTGGGGTCAAATGACCCCGGCTAGGTGATTGTTTAGCCTCCTTTTGAAGACCCCCAAGGTAGGGGCAAGCATCACCTCCCTCGGAAGTTGGTTCCAGCTCCTAGCTACCCTGACCGTGAAGTAATGCCTCCTGATGTCTAGCCTGAACCTACTCTCTGTCAACTTATGGCCGTTACTCCTTGTTACTCCCAGTAGTGCACCGGGGAATAGGGATTCTCCCGTTGCCTGCTGGTCCCTCTTGGCAAGCTTGTAGGCGGCCACCAGATCCCCCTCAGCCTTCTTTTGTGGAGGCTGAACAGGTTCAGGTCCTGTAGCCTCTCCTCATAGGGCCTACCCTGTTGCCCCCTGATCATGCAGGTGGCCCTCCTCTGGACCCTCTTGATGCTATCCACATCCCTCCTTCATAGAATCATAGTACTTGGGGTCAGAAGGGACCTAAACAGATCATCAGGTCCAACCCCCTGCCCCGGGCAGGATCGAGTGCTGGGATCATATCACCTCAGCCAAATATCTATCCAGCCTCCTCTTGAAGACCCCCAAGGTAGAAGAGAGCACCACCTGCCTTGGGAGTCCATTCCAGAGCCTGGCAGCCCTAACTGTAAAGTAACGCCTCCTGATGTCCAGCCTGAACCTTCTCTCTAACGATTTGTGGCCGTTATTCCTAGTAACCCCCGGTGGTGCCTGGGGGAACAGAGTCTCCCGCACTTTCTGCTGCCCACCCTGGTGAGTTTGTAAACAGCCACCAGATCCCCTCTCAGCCTTCTCCTGTGGAGGCTGAATAGGTTCAGGCCCTTTAACCTCTCTTCGTAGGGCCTGACCTGCTGCCCCTTGACCATGCGAGCGGCCCTCTTCTGGACCCTCTCAATGCTAGCCACATCCCTCCTGAAGTGCGGCGACCAGAACCGGACACAGGACTCCAACTGTGGCCTGACCAATGCCGCATAGAGGGGAAGGATCACCTCCCTGGATCCACTTGTGATCCACCTGTAGATGCACGACAAGGTGCAGTTAGCCTTACTGACCACTACCCTGCATTGGAAGCTCATGTTCATCCGGGAGTCAACAATGACTCCAAGATCCCTTTCTGCCTCTGTGTTGACAAGAAGGGTGTTCCCAGCCTATAGGCGTGTTGCTGGTTCCTTCTCCCTAGATGCAGCACCTTGCACTTGTCCGCGTTGAACTCCATCCTATTCTCATCTGCCCACCTCTGTAACCTGTCTAGATCTAGCTGGATTCTGTCCCTCCCCTCCAGCGTGCTCACCTTGCCCCACATTTTAGTGTTGTCAGTGAATTTGGACAGTGTGCTTTCCACACCCACGTCCAGATCGCTGATAAAGATGTTGTACAGTACAGGCCCCAGGAGAGACTTTCTTCAAGTCTCTTCACTCCCCACATTCTTTACACCACCCCTAGCTCCTCCTATGCTCTGCCCCAACTGTACTCCCGTCCCCAACTGGACCTGGTGCCTTGCTCACCTCCAAGTTCTCTGCCTGCTTTGGAGGCCTGCCCTGCCCCTTCTGCACTTGGCCTGGCTCAGGGGTCAGGGGGCCCCTCTCCTCCAGGTTCCCTGCACACGTCCTCTGCAGCTCCAGGATTACAGGCTCTTCTCCAGGAGGCTCCTGCTCAACTCTCCTCAGGGTCCCAGCACCTGCGGGTAGGGAATAGCACACACAGGTTAGCCCTGGTGCTGCTGGCACAAGGAAAGCCCTGCTACTCACCTGTATGGGCCTGGGACCGAGGCTTCAGAGTGTGGAAGAGGGGGGAGAAGGAAGACTCAAAATCCCGCAGCTCTTGCTAACAAACCACCACCAGTATCAGGCTGGAGATGAGCTGCAATAACTCCCAGTGCAGCGTGGTGATCACGGCACCATGTCAGAGCTTTCCTCTGCTGACAACTCCCAGGTCCCTTCACTTTCAGGGGAATCTGCAGTCTCATTTCCCCCATCACCTGCACCAGTCCCTTATCGAGCACAGAGGACTCACAGGGGCATGAGAAAGGGACCAGTGAACCCTGACTATTGGAACATGAATTAGGTTATTGATCGTTATCGTGGCAGCATGACATGGCCCAAACAAGATAAAGCCTCTCTCTGCTGGATGCTGCACACATGCAGTGAGAAAGATCAGGAACCCCTAGCCTGGGAGCTGCCCATGCACAGAGACCAGAGCTCTGTCCCAGCCCAGCCACGTGGTTACAAATATTGCAGCCCTGTCCTGGGCAGGGGCAGACATTCAAGCCTCTTCCCCTGCATGCAGGACAGCCACTCAGGCACCCAGACCCACGCCCGGGCCTCCATCCTGTACCTCACCTGACTCCTGGTGGGGCAGGGGCTCCTCTTTGGAGACATGAGGTGGCTTGTCCTGAGACCCCAGGGCTTCCCTCTCTCCAGACTGCTCCAGAGGCCAGTCTACACAATGGGCCTGTAACTGCTCTGGCCAGGAATCACCAGGGTCCTGCAATGCTGAAGTGGGCTGCATCTCTTCTGAGGGCACTCCCTCAACCTTCACACTCACTGTGACCTGGGGACGAAATAAACATGTCACTGGGGATCTGGGATCAACAGAACATGGAGGGAACATCCCGCAAGCACATGGAGACAGGGACAGCAGTGTCCATGATCAGGGTGAAAAGTTTTCACCTGGAGCTTCTCGTCGTCCTCCTCCTGTACTAGCTGAAATGCCTCAGCTGGGGACTCAGCAGGTCTCCACCCTGCGTCCCCACTCCCAGCTCTGCATCTCCTTGGCCTGGAATTGGTCCAGGATTTGCTCCTGGCTGCGGTGCTGGGGCTCCAGCCAGCACTGACAGAGCTCCTGCAGGTGACTACAAACCTCCCCCGGCATCTTGGCTTCCAGGTAGTGGACACGCCAGAAGCATTGACACCAGGTCTCTGGGGTGGGGAGGTTGTCCCCTGGGGCCAAGTTTCAAGTCTCTGAGGGAATCTCAGGCATGGCCTGCATCAGCTCCTGCCCCGGATCTCCCGGCGTTGGACCGGCTCCTCCTGCAGCTGCTGCTTTACAGGTGGTGCACTCCCTCCCCCCCAGCCTGGAGGACACGAGGGACTTGTCCTGCCTCCCAAGATCCTGCCTGGAGACCCCCTGGGTCCTGCTCCCTCAGCATCACCTCCGGCTGCAGCAGGGCTGTGAACAG